TTGTTGTTGTTGTTATTATTATTATTATTATTATTTTTTCTCAGCGTTATGGGGAGGGTTCTCCAAGCAGTCTTTCCTAATTTGGTTTTTAATCTAAAGTAAATTTTCTGTTTTGCCTATTTCCCCAAATTCATGTATGAATTGACCTTTGGAATATTATTTAGAATATAAATTTGGGGATTTTACTATTTCTCAGTTGTTTCAGATTCTAGTAACCCTGGTAATAAAGATATAATACCTCATGTCATTTTTCATATGTCTAGTAATTTTTCTCTATTTGTTCACTTTACAGAGGGACCTAGATCTATGTTTGTTTAGGTTTGGAATTTGAAATGGTTGTATAAAAGATTATGCAAATCATTTCCAAGCATGTTGATTCTGGGCAATGGAGAAAGAAAAAGAACTAACCTGATCGTTTATGCTTTTCGTTTTCTAGATTGGGAGGTCCAGTTGGCCTTGATTAGGGCAGGGAGAGCTCTTGAGAAGAGGAGAGAGATTTTCTGTTGTGCTGGACAGCTTCTTTTCAGTATTTGCCGAGGAAGCCCAAGGTTAGCTGAGGGAGTGTCTCCCTTATCTAACTGGCATGAGAGCCCAGGTTAGGAACCTGCTGGCCAATGCCCCTGCTTTTCTGTGCAAACCCAAATATGGGCAGAGCCTTGGCCAACTGCTCTGTGAGCAGACACTTGTGCAGTTCCCAGGCTTGTTTCCTGTCTGTGCCCACCTCACCCTTATTCCTAGTCCTGGCCATGTATCATAGGGCTTAGGGAGGCTGACCCTCCATCACCTCCCAGGGCTGAAACTTCTTTAGTCAATACATCCATCAGTCTGGTTCCATCTACACATGTATAAATGCCTTAAAGTTCTGGACCAGAATTTGAAACAAAGAGGAGTTAATTGCATGGGTTCAAACTATGATCTATAGACAAAAATGAGGGTGCTATAACTTTGGACAGATCAGAATACAAAACTGATTTCTTTACAGTGTGACCACTAGGTGGTGCCACCAATTAGTAAAAACAAGGGTTGCTATCATGGGACAACCAAGAACCACTTGCAGCTGGCACAAGCACAAGTGTGTGAGATTGTGTGGAACTTGTAGGCACTTGTGCATGTGTGCATGAGTGTGTGTGCACATCATTCATGGTGCATGAGTTTGCTCACAGAACAATGTTGGTTTATAAGTGTATAGATACATAAGGCTGTGCACCCTGGAAATTATGGGCATGAAGCTAAATGATAGGAACTCCAAAAGGCTGACCCATCAGCCATGTTAGGAAGGTTGCTTATGGCGTGTGTAAAGACACAACCCTATGGGAGAAACGACAACAGCACCACAGGGCAGCTTTTCTGAGGAAGGGGATCCCTAGACACAGCCATGGGTTTCTCTAAAGTCATCAGTCCTGCAAACCCTATGTCCAGTCAGGCCTCCAAGAAGGTCTCAGTTACTTCCGAAGTCTCAACACCTTCCTTGAGAGCCCAAAGTACCTAATAACATGTCCAGCTTGGGATGCTATCTTCTGTTCAGGTAGGGAGTGACCTTGCACCTAAGAAAATAAATAGCATGTGTATGTGTGTGTGAGGGGAGGGGTGGTGGTCTCTCCCCTAATCCCCTCCTCCCCAGAATCATCCATGTCTATATATGCTCCTCCCTCTTATCTCTGTGGAAGGTACCCAGCTGACCTCAGACTTTCTGGAAACCCTCTCACTCCAGGAATAGTGCTGTTTTGATTGCCTGCTAGATAGAGTGGCCCACAAAGCTGGGGATCTTAGGCAAGTCCCTTCCCTTCTCTGGCCTGAGTTTCCCCAGCTCTCATTGAGGTCTGGGTCTGGGTGATGCTGAGAGGCCTTTGTGCTGACTCGAGTCCTACAAGTCTGCAGGTTTCAGGGCCCTGCCCTCTCCAGTGGCTGGTGTGGCATGGGAGTCTTTTTGGAGCTCTGAAGAAGGACAAATTTCCTCCCCCTCCTAGCAGAACTTCCTTCCTTAACAGGCCCCTGGGGAAAGCAGCTGGGCTCTCAGGGCCCCAGAAGGCGGTAGGAGGAAGTTCTCACTCCAGCATCATTAAAAGTTCAAGTGGCTTCTCCTGGGAAGGCGAAAGCCCCAGGATTCATTAGGCCTGCTGTCCCCTGAGCCCAATTTGGTTGAAAGAATGTTTGGCATTTTCATCCAGAGAAGGCTTTCACTAAGGGTTTGAGGCCTCCCTGAGAGAGCTCACCTCCCATCGAGGGCAGAGAGGGAAGGTCCCTGGAGGTCACCTCTTGCCTTGACACTTTTCCAGAGGAAGAAACAGCCTTGATCAGGGGAGGGGCTTGCCCAAGCCCACATGAAGCCAGCCTTGCCAGCTGGCATTCCTCCAGGTGGCAGGGAGATGAGCATACACCCAGAAAGGAGCAGAGAGGAAAGGGTGGGGGACTCAGCGGGGAGTGCCCTTGGGGACCAGTGGTCTCTGGGGTGCAGGTGCAGAACGGCAGCTTTGGGGAGGCCCTGCATGAGGCACAGCTGTGAGAACAGCCTAACAAGCCACTGCAGAAAGGGCTGCCCAGGGAAACAGTGGGCTCCCGTCCCTGAGACGTGTGAATGAAATGGACAAGTGCTTGTCTAGGATGAACAGAGTGGTTTGGGTCTAGGAGAGGGACAGAAGTCTGCGACTGTTCAGGTCCTGCTTGCTTTGTAAATTTTCCACCAGGCGGGGAGGATGGGACAGAGCAAGGAGTCTGCAGTTTATGGCCAGTCAAGACTGTTGAACTGGGAACCAGGAGGCTGGGACTGGGGCTTAGCATCTCTGAGCTCAGTGGCCTCTTTCCTGCCTCCTGCAGCCATGGGCTAACAACCAAACCATCTTGGCTCCCAAAGCCGGTGGGGCTGAGGACCTAGAGACAGTTGTTCAGATTCCCTGAATGATGAAAATCTACCCTCGGTACCTTACAGAGCTCCTGAAGTGTGGGATGGTTTTGTTTGACATAACCTGACTCAGTCCCAGAGGACTTTGTGGCCTTTGAGGACTTTGCAGGACAGGGAGCCACAGACTTTCAGCTGACACGGTCTCCCAGGTCATCTAGGCCAAACTCCACTACAATAATATTGATGGCAAACATATGTCAGCAACTGTTTTAAGTGCTTTATAAATCTTAACTCCTTGAATCCTCAGAAAACCCTATGAGGGGGCCGGCCAAGTGGCGCATTGGTTAGGAGTTGGCTTCGGATGCCAGCTCTGAGCAGCAGGGGCCCAGTTTGGATCCCACATTAGGACCAGTGACACTGCACCCTCTACAGCTAAGATGGTGAACAACAGCTCGACCTGGAGCTGGGCTGCCATGAGTCGCTGGCGACGGCGATGGCGATGGTGTAGGCTGCAGTGGGGCTGGCCGGCAGCTGGTGTGAGCTTTTGTGAGCGACCGTCCAATGGCCAGCGAGTGACTGCCTCACCTGGGAAGAGCACAATGATAATACCAACATGGGCCAGCCAAGTGACGTCCTCCACAACTAGACTGAAGAACAAAACAACAGCAACTTATCTGTTCCCCTTGCCTGATTCCCCAACGCTGCTCCCCTCCTTCATTTCCCCAATAAAATCTTTAAAAAACTAACTAAATAAATAAAAACCCTATGAGGGAAGATACTCTTATTAGCCATTTTACAGATGAGGAAACTAAGACACAGAGAGGTTAAGTAACTTGTGCATAGTCACAGAGATAGTGAATCGTGTGGTTCCAGAACCCACATTCTTAATCACTGTGCTGTACTGTCTCTAAAAGAGGAGGGAGCTGAGGCCCAGGCAAAGGAAGGGGCTGGCCAGGTTACTTGGCCAGAAGGCAGGGATGGGGACCTAGACCGCTTATCTCCAGCCTCAGGGCTCTTTCCTCCACAGCACCCCCTGGCAGGCCTCTGTTCCCACCCAGCCTTCCCTCGGCCTCCTCAGAGTTAACAGTTGGCTGGCCTCGCCCTTGGCCAGCAACTCCCGCCCAAAGAGGCTCTGTCCACATTCCCTGGCTGCTTTCCAGCCTGCAGGAGCTGAGACAACAAAGTCCAGTGACTGGGAGGGCTGAGCAGAGGCCGCTGAAGGGGAGGAAGCAGCGGGAGCCACAGAGCGAGGGGACTGTCCAGCTCCCCGATGCTAGGCCTCCTGGGGAGCACGACTCTCGTGGGCTTGATCGCAGGCACTGCTGTGGCCGTTCTGCTACTGCTGCTTCTGCTCGCCACCTGCCTACATGGTGGGCAGTGGGACAATGACGTGGAGAGAAACCATCAGGCTGGAAGGAGAAACCGAGTCCGGCGGATCCAGCCTTGGCTCTTCCCAGGCCGGGGCCACCTGGGACGCTTTCACCATCCCCATCTTCCTGGCCATGTGTCTCACATGCACCATGCAGGCCTCCAACACCACCACCTGCACCACCATCGCCACCACCAAGCCCACCTCCATGCCCACCGAGGCCACCGTTGATGCCTGTGGATGGCAACCGCCGCCTGCCCTACCATCTCCAGGACGAATGGACCCCGTGTTCCTCTGCAGAAGGTCACCTCTCTGTGGTGAACACTGGGTGCTCTGCTTGGGTCCTGCTTGGGCTTCATTAGCATACGGTGCCCCAGTGAACCACAGAGGCAAAGGACAGAGGAACACCTGGGATGGCCCAGCGTGCACTGGAGGGTGAGGGGGGTGAGAGCAGGGGTGGTCCTTTGGGGATGGGCACCACCTTGGGACTGTTAACTCCCAGAGGGCACCAGAAGTGCACCGATGTATGCCGATGCATGAAAGATGGCCCATGCTCTCTCTGAAGTGCTCCTCTTCTGACTTCCTCAAGCCTCTGGTGGGGAGTAGATGGGAGGGACCCCAGCAATGCCCTTTCATTTGGAGAAGGTAGTATGAGGCTGCACAATTTACTGGTGCCTTAATGCAAGAAAATAAAAAACCTCTAAGAAGCTTTTGTGAAGAGGCTCTTGATTACAACTCAAGTCGGGGAGAGGGAGCTGCCAGGCTCCTGTATGCATTGCTCTGGGACCTCCTACTCTGACGAGAAGTGAGTGTGTAAAGTGGTGGCTTCTGCTTGGGGCTTGAGGGCTGGCTGTGCAGTGGGGGAAACTGGGTGGGCTCTGCAGTGCTCCGTGGATAATGGGTGAGAAGGGCATGGGGCCTGAGCTCTGAGGGAGGATTTAGGGTTTGCGTGCAGCTCTGTCCAGAGAGGGCTCTCTGTGTACTAGGGGTGTTCTGGGCTTCTATGAAACAGTCCGGGTCTCAGAAAGGGAGAGGTAAGGCCTCTGAGGCTGGCTTTCAGGACTTGACCTCAGTGTTCTTTCCAGCTCATCTCCAGTGCAGACTGAACTCTGGGACTGGCAGAAACCCCACTCTGTGGGCTGGGTTGAATTCAATGTTTCCTTGGTAACTGGGTCAGGGTTTCTTATCCAAGCCTTGAGTCTCCAGCTAGCCTGCCTCCATGGTTCCTGTGTGTGGCAATTGGGTTTGGAGGGAGGGACGGGTTCTTAAACTGGGGGATGTGGTGCTGAGTGGTCTTGGTGAGTGCTTGCCTCCTTGGGTCTCAGTTTCCTCTTCCCTAAAATGGAACAGATAACATAGACTCCTTCTTGCCAAACCCTGGGGGCATGTTCTCAACCGCCCCAGGGATAACTGGCAGAATTCTACAGGGAGGAAGGAAATCCTATTCCGAGGCCTGCAGCCTGTGCCTGTGAGCTGGGGTGGGAAGTGGAGGGGGGAGCATCTGGGGGGCTGGGTGAGGTGGTGGGGAGGGGCTTGAGAACAGGCCAGAAAGTCGGGGGCCTGCTGACTCACTGGAACAGAATGTCCTGTTTCTTTTCTATTTCCTGATAGACTCTCTGTCAGTGCTTGGGTTGGGGTGGGGGTTGGGGTCTGTGAGGGGAAGAGGGAAGCAAATTCACCGCTGACAGCCACAACAGACTTCTGCAATGGGAAAGTGGACCATGAGTCACCATGTGTTGTTGATTTTATCTCTGCAGTGTCCTTCAAATCCGCCTCCCCTCCCCTCGCTCTCATGTCCACCCTACCTCATCTTCAAACCTGGATTCCTGTCACAGCCCCTCCGAGTCTGCTCACCTTCAGCCCTGGCCCTTTCTGAAGCATCTGCCCAAGTTTCTCATCGCCCTTGGGATAAAGTGTCTGCCTCTTGGTTGGCTACTCAAGGCCCCTGGCCGGCTTCCCGCCTACCCGCTTGCTCTTTTGTTCCATCTGCACTGCTCTAGTCATCAGCCCCAGAAAACACCTTGCACTTCATTTACCCTCTCTGTTTTGGTCCAAGAACTTGTTGCCCCCTCCTATGGGTTTCCAATTGTTGTTGTTGTTGTTGTTGTTATTATTATTATTATTATTATTATTATTATTATTTTACACATTTCTTTTGGAACACTGACTACACTGTATCTTTCCCCAGAGATTTATGGCAGGATTCAAGGACCCTGCCCTTATAGATCGGAGACTCATGCTCTCTGGAAAAGTAAATATGATCAGAATAACCACTGCCAGGAGTTTGGAGCCTAAGAGACACCAAGTAGAGCAGTAGGGCCCTGTGGGGTTAGGTCTTTGGGCCCCTGGAGCCTCTGAGGGAGCTTGTGCTCCTACTCCATCTACCCAGTGTTGGGGGTAGGGGGGTGGTCTGAAAGGCAGGCAACATTTAACAGGTGGAGGCCTGTAGCCTGCTGGCCTGGACCTCCCCTCCTTTTTGTCTCTGCGGAGCTCCATGTTAGTCTTGGTCGGCCTGCGTTTCCTAAGTGTGGCCTGAAGCCCTGGGAGAACTGGAATCTTCTTTGTTTCAGAATGTCTACTGTCACCTCTTCCCTTGTTAATAGAAGTGGAATATATGGAATGTGGCCTTTTTTTCTGATCAGTTGATGAGAATGACGGCTGCTGGGAGGACACTCATGTATCTAAGTGACAGATATTTTGGGGAGCTCCTCTGCATCTGGGGCTCATGGGTAGGGGTTGTGTTTCACAGGATTACAAAAGTCACAAGATGAAGAAAAGATACCTGGAAAAACCACTCAGGACAAACCTATCTGAGTTGTGCAAAAGGTTGATGGCTGTCTTGTTTTTTTTTTCCAGCTCTCCTGATAATGCTGATAAATGGAAAGGGGCTGTTGAGGGATGGTTGGGGGCAAGGGTACTAAGACAGGAGGGTACTGTGGGGGAAGTGTCTAATTTTGTTGACCTTTATCCATAGTTACTCTTTTTGTCCTGGCTTGAGATGCCACGTTGGTTATTCTACATTGCAGACCGCCAGTGTGACATCCATAAAGACCCCTAAAAGCCTTCAAAGCAGACTGTGCGCATCCTCACTATATAACTAGAGTCCCTCTCTTTATGCCACACAGCCTCAATTCAAATACTGAATGCCTATTAGAGGATGGACCAGAAGGCCCATTTTACAGATGAATCAAAGAAGGGTCCCCAAATTTCAGAAATAGAAAAGGAAACCTATGCAAGGCAAAAGATAAGAGAGCTGAACCATTGTCTTTTATTCTAGTTTAAAAATGCTGAATAACACATGCCTACCACAGGTGGCCTCCAACTCCATTCACCCACAAAGAAAAGGAAAATGAGAAGTCAAAGGAATAAATAACCCAGCTTGAAACCTGGTCCCCCTGGTGCCCTCTATCTCCTGAATTGACTAGTTGATCTTGGTAATTCAACCTGAAACCACCAGCACCACAGATTGACTCCTCAAGTTTCCTTGTCTCTGTTTCTGGTCGCCCCAGTTAATACAAATAATCCCAGGTGTCCAGCTCCCTGTCGTGGCCCTAGCTTGTCCCATGCTCATCCTCTGCCCTCTCAGAGGGGGAGCCCCACTCCCAGGCTGTACAATCATCTTGGAAAAGGGAAGAGTGAGAATTTACTGGGCATCATACTCCCAATAGTCACGCTCCCATTCTGTGTGTAAGTAGTTTCCTAAAGCTGGCACTAAAAGAAGCTCACTGGGGCCTTGGAGAAATTGAAAAGGACCCGAGCTGTGTGACTTTGGGCTAGCCCTTGTCCCTCTCTGGGCCTTTGCACTCTGATCAGTAAAACTGCAGAATGTGGTGATGGCTCTGTGGTCCTGTGGTACCTGGAAAGAGCATTGAACTAGAAAGAAAGGCTGGCAAGCCCCTCTTCGGCTATTCCGTGCTATTGTTATCACTACACATTAGCAATAGGCCACAGGCAGGTCATGTAACCTCTGACTCTCAGTATCTGAATCTGTAAAGCGATCCAGGGTTGTTGGATCGATTCTATGAGATAATGCCTGACTGTGTCCCATGTCTGGAATTATTGTTTCTCACTATGCCATTCCTCAGAGTTTGGGTAAAGTGGGGCTAATAACCCAGTCTCCTTTCTGGAAGTGGCGGTGGTCTCAGGAGGTGTTGGCTGTGACCAAGTGAGTGTCACGATGGAACACCTTCTGGCAGACTTACTCCGTGGTCTGGGCCTGGCTCGCCCCCCACCCCACCCAGTTAAGTGGAGAACCTGGCAGGGGGCAGGGCTGAAATTTCATGGGTGTTTGTGGGGGGTGGGTACGTGCAGTCGCTGCCGGCGAGCAGCAGGCAGCTGTGCAGGTCCTGGGCCCTCACTCACAATTGGAGGAAGGAATTCAGGAAGTGCTCACAGCCACTCAGACATCTTGGAGCCCAGTCCCACGCAGCACCAAGGCTGCATCACCCAGGGATGGGCATGCCGTGACTTGGCTCCTGGGACAGCCACCAGGTCAGGAGTCCACGGCACTACAAACAGCCAGAGCTGTCACCGGGGGGGAACCCAGGGTAAGTTTTCACAGCATCTGAGTGTGAGCAGTGGGCGTGAGTAGACAACAAGAAGGGCTAGGGGGTGGCCGGCGCAGAAGAGGGATTCTTGGGAACTGCAGGGCAAGGGAGCCCCACTGTATGTCACTGAAGGTGCTCAGATATCCGGGCCTTATCTAAACAGCACTCTCCCAAACCCATACAGAAAAGGAGGCCAAATGAAACAGGCCCTCCTCCCCTGCTCCTGCCGAAGGCCCCCACGGCACTAGCGGTGAACTTGCAGTGCTCCCCTCACCTTGCCCAAAGGTGTTACCTCCCCACCTGTATCCCTGCCCCCAGCACAGGGCCGGGTTCTCAGGAGGCAGCAAATAGGCTTATTAAAGAACTGGCCCAAGGTTCCTCCAGGGGAGGAGCCCAGGCTCATCCTGGATCCTACGAGGGGGAGTGTTTTGTCTTTTGTCTGGGCACACAAACTCTCTTGAAATCCGTAGGCGTCACCAGAGGGTTGGCTTGGCAAGGTTCCCTGTGAGCAAAGCCTTCTGCCCCTTCCTCCCAGCTCCGCAGAGTCCAGAGAGTCTTGAGCTCACATCCTTCAAGACAGCGTTTCTTCCAGAGGCTGCCAGTGGAGTTGACCACAGACTTAAGAAACAGTGACAGAGACCAACTGTCAGAGTAGCCCATGCAAGGTGCCCAACGACCTAGCGGGAGCGCGACCCAGGACCTCAAGACCAGTATCTTCTCAGAAGACTGCAGGGGGAGCGGCTGGAAGAGCAGGGTACCTGGCACCACCAAGAGCCCCCTGTTTCGGATGGGGAGTTAAGGCTCTTAGACACAACCCAGGCTGCTGAGCGGGTCAGCTGCCACGCGGGGCCATGGAAATGGCAGTGATGGGCGTGGTGGCAGTGCTGTTTGTGGTCACTGTGGTCATCACCTGTGTCCTCTGCTGCTTCAGCTGTGACTCAAGGGCCCAGGATCCTCAGGGGGGCCCAGGCCGCAGCTTCACTGTGGCCACGTTTCGCCAGGAGGCTTCTCTCTTCATAGGGCCAGGTCGTCACGCACAACCAGCGGCAGGTGCCCGGGACTTCTGGACTTTCATGTGAGGCCTAACGGCCCCTAGGATTTTCTTTGCTACTGGCTTAGACTCACCCATCCCCCAGCAAGACTGCCCCACTCCTCTGAGT